TTGCTGAGGATTTTTCCATCAATATTCATCAGAGATACTGGCCTGTAGTTTGTTTTGGTTTTTTTGCCACACAAGCCTCCCGAGTAGCTGGGCCTGCAGGTGCACACCACCATGCCTGGCTAATTTTTGCATTTTTTGTAGAGACAGGGTTTCTCCATTATGGCCAGGCTAGTCTCAAATTCCTGACCTCAAGTGATCCACTTGCCTCAGCCTCCTAAAGTGCTGGGATTACAGGTGTGAAGCCACCACACCTGGGCTAGTCTTCTTTTGATGTGTCTTTGGTTTTGCTATCAGGGTAATACTGGCCTCACAGAATGAGTTTGGAAGTATTCCCTCCTCCTCCATTCTTCAGAATAATTTGAGAATTGGTATTAGTTATTTAAATGTTTGGTAGAATTCAGCAGTGAAGCCATCGGGTCTCAGGCTTTACTGGGAAACTTATTACAGCTCAGATCTCATTACTTGTACTGGTTTGTTCAGGTTTTGGATTTCAATTTCATGGGTCAATTTTGGGAGGTTGTATGAGTCTAGGAATTTATCCATTTGCTCTAGATTTTCCAATTTATTGGCATATAGTTGCTTACAGTAGCCACTAATAATCCTTTAAATTTCTGCAATATCAGTTGTAATGTCTTTTACCATCTCTGATTTTATTTGAGTCTTCCTTTGTAAGTCTGACTAAAGGTTTTGTCAATTTTATGTTTTCAAAAAACCAAATTTTGTTTCATTGATCTTTTGTATTATTTTCTTCATTTCTAATTCATATATTCCTGTTTATTATTTTTCTACCAATTTGGGGTTCAGTTTGCTCTTGCTTTTCTAGTTCTTTAAGCCTTTCCTGTTTAGAAAAAAAAGTGCAGTTTGCTGCCAGTGCTCAATTTTACATAAACATGTTCTCTGAGGCTGAGGCAAATCTGACTGATTTTCAATGTGCAAATAAAATATAAAAACTGTTCTTGGAGTTATTTCTAAACAAAACTAACATCAGAATCATTGGAATCATCAGAATCAACTATTTCAGAAAAATCAGATCCGCCAAACAAATCTTCAGTCAACAACTGCTTGAGAATGATCTTAAACATCACCCGTAGGAATGCTACATTTTCTAGGCTTTGACAATTTCAGCAATCGAGAATTACTGCATTTTGTAAATAGAAATACCACTACTAAAAACAATGTTACAAATAGAAGGATGTGTTTTGTTTCCAAAGTAAATACACTACAGCAATGTGAAAATAATAAAAATGAGCTATTTCATCGCAAAGTTATCTTAAGGTAAACACTGCAGTCGTAAGGACCCCTGGCAAGTATTCTTGGGGCAAATGGGAAAAGAGTGATGATGCATCATTAGGTTATTTGAAGTTTTTCTTCTTTTTTGATGTAGGTACGTATAGCTATAAATTCCCGTCATACATACTACTATTTTTGCTGTATCTCATAGGTTTTGAGATGTGTTTCAAGAAAATTTTCAATTTCCTTCTTAGTTTCTTCATTTACCCACTGGTCATTCAGGGACATACTGTTTAATTTCTATGTGTTTGTATAGTTTCCAACATTTCTCTTGTTACTAACTTCTACTTTTAATCCATTGTGGTCAGAGAAGATGCTTATTATTTCAATGTTTTGAATGTTTTAAGACTTGTTTTGTGACATAACATATGCTGTATCCTTGATAATGATTCATGTGCTGGGGAGAATAATTTTCAGTATTCTTCAGCCTTTGGATGAAATGTTTGGTAAGTATCTATTAGATTCATTTGTCCCACAGTGCAGATTAAATCTGATGTTTCTTTGTTGAGTTTCTGCCTGGAAGATCTGTCCAATGCTGAAAGTGGTGTGGTGAAGACGCCAGCTATTATTGTATTGGGAGCTCTATCTTTAGCTCTAATAATATTTAGTTTACATATCTGCATGCTCCAGTATTAGCATATGTATTTACAAGCATATCCTGTTGCTAGATTGACCCCTTTATCATTACATAATGACCTTTTTGTCTCTTACAGTGTTTGCCTTGAAATCTATTTTGTCTAATATAATTATAGCTACTCCTGCTCTTTATTAGTTTCTAATGACATGGAATATCTTTTTCTATCCCTTTGTTTTCAGTCTAGGTGTATCTTTATAGGCTAAATGTGTTTCTTGCAAGCAATAGATCATTGGGTCTTGTTTCCTCATCCATTCAGCCACTGTGCTTTGATTGTAGAGTTTAGTCCATTTACCTTCAATGTTATTATAGATAAGCAGGGACTTACTCCTGCCATTTTGTTGTTTTCTGGTTGTTTTGTAGTGTTGTTTTCCTTCTTGCCTTCCTCCCTGTCTTTTAGTGAAGGTGGTTTTCTCTGGTGGTATGATTTAATTCCTTGTTTTTTAAATCCATTGCATATTTTTAGATTTGAGGTTACTGAAAGGCTTACTGCAAGTTATAATTCATTATTTTAAACTGACAACATTGATTGCATAAACAAGCAAAAATAAAATTAAAAAAACCTCTCTTCCCCCCTCACCCTCCGCCCTCCCTCTCCCATGGCCACCACCACTGGGACTGCATTGGATCAAACCTGAAGCCAGCACAGCACCAGGTCTTGCCAAAGACCCGCTGTAACCACTACCTGACCACCACCTACCCCTTTCTCTCTCACACTGTGGCCACCACCACTGGCACTGTACTGGATTAGACCTGAAGCCAGCACAGCACCAGGTCTTGCCAAAGACCTGCTGTAACCACTACCTGACCATCACCTACCTCTCTCTCTCTCCCACTGTGGCCACCACCACTGGGACTGCATTGGAGCAGACCTGAAGCCAGCACAGCACTGGGTCTTGCCCAAGGTCTGCTGTAACCACTACTTGACCACCTATATTCACTCAAGGCTCAAGAGTTCTACAATCAGCAGGTGGTGAAGCCAACTAGGTTTGTGTCTTTCCCTTCAGGGTGTCAAGTATCCCCAGGCCCTGGGCAGGTACAGAGATGCTGTCTGGGAGCCAGGGATTAGAGTCAAAAACCATAAAATTTTGCCTGATGTTCTATTGTACTGTGGCCAAGTTGGCACTCAAATCACAATATGAAGTCCTTCCTGCTCTTCCTTCCCCTTTCCATTGGCAGAGGGGCTTCTCCCTGTGGCCACCAGCACTGGCACACAGGGGATTCTGCTAGGCCACCACCAATGTTCACTTAAAGCCCAAGGGCTTCTCAGCCAGCTTGTGGTGAATGCTGCCAGGCCTGGGACTCACCCTGAAGGGCAGTGGGTGCCCAGGGCAGGGTCCAGAAATGCTGCCCAAGAGTCTAGGCTTGGATTCAGGGACCCCAAAGGCCTCAGGGACCCCAAAAGCTCTATTGTGGCTGAGCTGGTACCTAAAGTGACAAGACAAAGTCCTCTTTACTTTTCCCTCTGCTTTTCTCAAACGAGGAGTTTTTCATCATAGCCACTACAGTTGGGAATGTGCTAGGTCACACCTGAAGTCAGCATGTCTCAGAGCCCAAGGCCCACAGCATACTATCTGGGTATTGCTGCTGGTAGTTCACAGTCCAAGGACTCTTTAGTCAGCAGGTGATGAATCCTGCCAGAACAAGGTCCTGCCCTTCAAGACAGTGGCTTCCCTATTGACCCAAGGTGTGCCTAGAAATGTTCATGAGCTAGGGGCTGGAATGAGGGCCTTGCGACTCTACCCAGTGCTCTACCCTACTGTGGCTAAGCTGGTATCCAAGATGCAAGGCAAAGTCCTCTTTACTCTTTGCTTTCCTTTCCTGAAGCAGAAGCAAGGAGTCACTTTCATTGCGGCCTGCCTGGGCTTGGGGGAGGAGTGGTGCAAGAACTCCCTTAGCTGCACTGGCTGGTGTCTACCTAGGTCATCTGTCACCCTAGTCCTCTGGCTCTGAGCCCATCCAGCACTAGGAGTTGCCTAGGAATTAACTGCAATCTTTGTGTCCTAGACTGCCTTTCAAGTTTACCTAGGACCCCAGAGCACTTTGGCCCACGGTGGCAAGACTTGCCAAGAAACTCAAGTTCTGGTAGCTGAAATGGAGAATTCCACTCTGGCTAGGTCTGGTCCAAATGCTCCCTCCGTGCATTTGCTCTCGCTTAGCCTAGCACGGCTTTACTCTCCACTATGACAAGGCAGCATTGAGTTCAATGTGAAGTCCCCCAGTTTCTGTGCTCTCCCTCCCCCAACTGCACAGACTCAGACCCCTCAGTGCAGCCACTGCCAGGGGGTCAGGGAGGAGTGGCATCAGTGATTCAAAGCTATCTCTCTAACCCTCTTCAATGCCTCTTTCAGCAATATGAAGTTAAAACCAATACTGTGATTGCTCACCTGATTTTTGGTTCTTGTGATGGTGCTTTTCTGTGTGTAAATAGTTGTTAAAATTTGGTGTTCCTGCAATGGGGATCAATAGTGTAGGCTTCTATTCTGCCATCTTGCCCTGCCTTCAATTTCTTGGAATAATTTAATCAATATTTAGTAGTTATATTATTGAGTATCCAAATATTTTTTGTACCCAACCCTCAAGACACAGTTCTTCCACAAATTGTAAGTTAGTGTTTAGAAATGTAACTGCAGGCTATCATGACAAAGACTTTTAAACCTAGAAGGAGCCTATTATCTTATGTCTGATCCCTAAGGTCATAACACCAAGGATGTGGATGCTTGTTTGCTGACGTTTACTCACCATTCCACCATGCTGCTTCCTGGAAATGTGTTATAATATTCTATATGCCCACCAACAAGAATGACAGAGAAATCTTCCTAGACCTGCTACTTATAAAAGTGGGGAAGAATAGTCCAAAGTGGCTTGTTCTCATGGGTATGAGGCAGAACAATAACCCTTAAGAAAATGTGACTGAATATTGAGAATACAGAATAAATAGAAGGCAGCAAGTAAAGTACTCTTACATAAAATGCAGCAAGGATGTACAAGTTGCCCAAGGAAGGTTCAGCCTAGGAAGAGAATATGACTCATTATTTGTCAGTAATATACAAGCACATCACTGAGGACACTTACATTTGGAAATTCTTTACAAAAATTTTATTTGAGATCTCAAGTCCTTATAAAAAGTGCATTACATCAAGATTGCAAAAGACACTTTTTAAATGAGAGACTTCTATCTACTCATCCATTTTACCCTATGATTCATTTCCTACCCTAACAGAAATGATTAAACAGTTTTTCTTTCTTCCTTTTCTTCTTCCTGCTTCTTCCTATTTGAAAGATACCCATGAGGGGTATCTTAACAGAATGTGCCAATTAGTCCTTGCCAGGAGAGCAGTAGCTTCCTACTACCTAAATTTAGAGAGCTCTTGGCATTCCTTTTGTCATGGCTCAAAGATTACTACAACCTGAATCTAAAAGATTGCAACCTACTACTTGTAATCTGTCTCCCTGGCCTCCTCTTTTACTCACAAACTCCACTCTAAAACAACCTTAAATTTTAAGCACTCAATAATTGCTTAATAAATGAAAAGATCTAAAGTTAATTAACTACCCTTGCAACTATTTTCTGTATAAGAATCTCAAAGTTAATAAAAATTATAGAGATGAAGAATGACCTAATACTAAGAAGGGGATGAATTCTGAGAGCAAATACATTTTACAACCTTTGTCTCAAAATAAGATCAATCCTACAAAATACAAAATGTTAAGAATACAATTTACACAGTAAAAATGATTTGATTTGTTTTCAGTATGAAAGTACTTTTAATTTCTTTACTGCAGGTACAATGGCATCCAAGTCATCAATTTCTGTAATACAAAAACAGTAATAATAAAAGTAACTTTTTCTAGTGGTAAACTCACATGAAACAAGAACCTATATGTAAATGCAAACCCCAAACATAAAGACAACAATTCTGGTGCTTTTGTGCACATGAAGGTTTTCTCCAATAGTGATGACAGATTATCACTGATTCGGATACAGATGCTTCACAGGGGCTCTTTTTATAAAGGTTACCACATACCTACAAGTACCCTCTGATTCTAGTATTAACTTCATTAGCAGCATGCCCTTATTAACAGATCCAACTGCCCATGTGTGTGGTATGTTAGTGTCTCATTAGATCTGTATCACTACATGGGTGTACCTACATGATGAAATCCCAGGTAGAGGCATCTCCTCCCTGGGTGTCCATGTGAGGACTTAGGAATTTCTACTCATAGAACAGTCTTGTCCTCTTTAATTTTCTTGGGAAGATTTCTTAGTAGCAGATCACTCTAAGATGAAAGGTATCTGCCGGCTGGGTGCAGTGGCTCATGCCTGTAATCCCAGCACTTTGGGAGACCGAGATGGGAAGATCATTTGCAGTCAGGAGTTCAAGACCAGCCTGGCCAACACAGTGAAAACCCATCTCTACTAAAAATACAAAAATTATCTGGGTGTGGTAGTGGGCACCTGTAATCCCAGCTACTTGGGAGGCTGAGGCAGGAGAATTGCTTGAACCTGGGAGGCGGAGGTTGCAGTGAGCTGAGATTGCATCACTGTACTCTGACCTGGGTGACAGAGAGCAAGACTATGTCTCAAAAAAACAATTATCTGCCTAATCAAAAAGAGAGCCTCATCAAGAATACAAACCTCAAGTACAATGTATTATAGGGCTTAGCCTGGTCCAGCTTACCAGATAAACCAATCCAGGCTCTTCTTTGACAGGCTCTTTCTGAATGATTTTTCTCTCTAAGACTATCTTATTCCAACCAGCCTAAGTTAGAATTCACTCTCTGAAGCTCCTGGCCACCAAGGGAGCAAAATCCTTTTTCTCATTATCCAGATCCCAGGCCTACTTAAGGTAAGCCACAATGGCAGGTTCTCTAGATACCCACTACATTTTTCTAGCTTATTCTGTTAAGCCATCATTAATAAACACATTCCTTTACATAAAACATGCTTTCTTGGATTCCAACTCTCTCCACTGTTTAGCTGGATATTGGTGATATTGGTTGCTCTTCATTTAGCCTACACACATAGCCCATACTCTCCTACTATTCATTTAGTTCTTTAAGCTCCCAACTTCAGTCAGAATACCTGTCTGAATCCACTAACCAAGCATCAAGATATGGGAATGGAAACAATATAAGCAAATCTACAACATAGAATTTGTTTAGTCCCTTACATTGTGGTAAGGTACAAGATCAAGTTATTCCTTGACTCCGCCCTCTGCCCATTCTGAAATTACCTGTTTTCTCATTAAGTGAGAAACCTGCCTTACAAATGAACCTCACAGCAAAGGATCTTGGCTGATATGGGAATTTCCTCAGTCAATCACACCACTTACATGAGAAAAAGAATGGATTTTTTTTTTTACTCGCTAAAGGTACTCTCTATATCTGTTATTCAGTCTACCACCCTGCACCTACATGCTGAGTGACACCTATTAATTAAAAAAAGTCATGTTTGCCAGATTTAACTTTCCCAATGTTAAATATAATGTTTAACCTCAGAATTTCAACTTTGACCAAAATACAGAATTCATCTCCAGAGAAACTTGGCTTTCTGAAGCAAATGATCTTTATGAACCATGCTGAGTGTCATAATATCTGAAAGGAAGTTTCTATAGAAGCATTCTGAAATAAGTGTTACCAGCACACCCTATTAAAATATGTTTATTAATGTGTCAAATATTTATGAATGATGAGAACATCACTGCTTAAGTTAATAGCAATCCCAAAGCAAGTAGAATCATATTATTCTATGAAACCAGGCTCTTCAGGATATCAGACAACACACTTACACAATTTCATACCTTATCTCAAGTTTAACTTTCAAATTACATTTTCACTTGCCATGATCTTTTTAAATATGAGGACAAGCCTAAAGCATGCTCACTCATTGTCTCCCTTGCTTCCCCAGTGCACATAAAACTGGTCACAAAACTTCCTTTATGTTCACTAGGCTATATATTCTAATTAGATACTTCTTTCACTTATTCTTCTTATCAAGTTTTCATTGACTCATTCCCTTATCTTCATTACCAAGCTTCATCTCCTCTTCTAAAAGCAAAGAGCCATTCTTTAAAAAAAAAAAAAAAAAAAAAATCTTTCGAATGAGCTATACAGAAAAAAAGAATTCACTTGTGCATCAATCACTTTAAAAATTATTCTTAATAGTAAGATAATTTTATAGCCATATGTAATTATATTTAAACTAGATAAGGTCTCTATTTTGCCTTATGAGTCCTAAGCAATTTTTTTCCTTTTAGGAGACGCTACTACTAATGAAGCCCTCAATCTGACCCTCGGTATGAGTGTAATATTTCATCTTTTCCTTTCCATAGATATTTATGACTTTATGTTACTTCGTATCACCAGAGAGGAAATGTTATTTGTATATTTAAAACATTTTGTAGACAGGTGGTATCTTAAGAAAAAAAAAAGAGGAAGGAAGGATCTTCTAAGATCATAAATCCAATGAATATTTCTCATTAGACAATGACAGAGCCAGGGTTAAACTAGGCATGGCCAGAGTGATGCCATCTCTCATGATAAGGTCCTCCAACAAAGGCAGTTCCTATCACTGTTAAGGGTCTGTGTTTCTGTTCTATGGACTAATCCCAACAAACTCTAACTGCTTGTAAGGAATGTGTTTCCAGAACTGTTAATGGCTTCCAACCACTAGATAAAAATACTAATCCAGTGACTAAGGAACACCCTTTTCTTAAATGCACTGACATTTTAAGACTCAAAATTTAACCATCACCGCCAGAAATCTTACCTAAGATTTCAAGTAGATCATTAGTAAATGCCTGAAATGCTGGGAAAAATTCCTCGTGTTCTTCCAATTTGTAGATAATGCTGTTTAAAAAATGCACAATTTAAACCTAATTTCTAACTTAGAGTTCTTGCATCTGATTGCAAACAGAACATTTTCAAAATAGAAACTATGCTGCTAATTTAAATATAAACTCAATGATCATTTACTACAGTCCTTCCTTTCTGAGCTTTTTGTTAATCTAATATGGCTTTTCTTTAAAAAGCATTTAAATATCAATGTAAAATTTGTTAAATTCATATATAACTTTTTTTTTTTTTTTTTTTGAGACGGAGTCTCACTGTGTCGCCCAGGCTGGAGTGTGGTGGTGCGATCTCGGCTCACTGCAAGCTCCACCTCCTGGGTTCACGCCATTCTCCTGCCTCAGCCTCCCAAGTAGCTGGGACTATAGGTGCCCGCTACCATGCCCGGCTAATTTTTGTATTTTTAGTAGAGACAGGGTTTCACCGTGTTTAGCCAGGATGGTTTCGATCTCCTGACCTGTGATCTGCCCACCTTGGCCTCCCAAAGTGCTGGGATTACAGGCGTGAGCTACTGCACCCGGCCAATATATAACATTCTTAACATGGCAAACTTTCCATTAAGCTCAAGGCTTCTTGGAGAGACCATGCTTTTACAGCATTTTCTAAAAATAATTGGCTTTTATACCCAGTATCCTATTAAACATTAAGGAAAAATATCAGGCCAGGCGTGGTGGCTCAAGCCTGCAATCCCAACACTTTGGAGGCCAAAGCAGGAGGATCACTTGAGGTCAGGAGTTCAAGACCAGCCTGGCCAACATGGTGAAACCCCATGTCTACTAAAATACAAAAATTAGCTGGGCGTGGTGGCGCATGCCTGTAACCCCAGCCACTTGGGAGGCTGAGGCATGAGAATTGCTTGAACCTGGGAGGCAGAGGTTGCAGTGAGCTGAGACTGAGCCACTGCACTCCAGCCTGGGCAACAGAGTAAGACTCTGTCTCAAAAAAAAAAAAAAAAAAAAATTCAGTAGTCAGTAACACTGTGGGACGGAGGAAATAGGCCAGTAATAAGATATATGTTCCTTTTAAAAGCACCAACTGTCAGATTATGTAAGAGTTCTTCTAGGAAAACTTGCAAAATGTGGTTTATGTGGTATACATTGTGTGTTTCCCTTCACATATGCTGTAATATAAAACTGGGGGTCAGGTGTGGGGAAAGTTGCTTTAACTATAGCTACAATGTTTTGATAATTTTCTAAAAATGCCAGGTTTTATGTTAGAGATGCCTAGTCCTTTAAAAAAATCCTTAGCATTTATCTTCTAATCAAATAAATATGCTATTAATGATTATTCAGTGGTCTATGGTAGTGTCCTAAAAATAGGACTTATTGATACGATCAGAACTTACATGATGTTGCTAACAAAGTTTGAATTTCTCCATATATAATATTCCCTGAGAATAGGCTTATGCTGAAGAGTTTCTGACCTTCTTTATAGGCTTTACAATCTATTTTTATCTTGAAAATACTTGGCATTTCCTCCATCCCTAAGGGTTTGAGATTATCTTAGATTGTCAAGTTACTTAAAAGATGCTATTCCAAGGCTGGGCACGGTAGCTTACACCTGTAATCCCAGCACTTTGGGAGGCCAAGGCAGGTGGATCACTTGAGCCCAGGAGTTTGAGACTGGTCTGGGCAACATGGTGCAACCTTGTCTCTCTCTCTATATACACACACACACACACACACACACACACACACACACAAATTAGCTGGGCGTGGTGGTGTGTGCCTATAGTCACATACACACAGAAAAGATGCTATTCCAAACAGGGAAGGTAAATAAGTTTTAAAAGTTTTTAATTTCACCCCTCCATGAATTCTGGATAATATTTATTTTTATTTTTATTTTTATTGTTTAGAGACAGGGTCTCACTGCATTGCTCAGACTGGACTTAAACTCCTGGGCTCAAGTGATCCTCCCACATCAGCCTCCCAAGTCGCTGGGACTACAGGCGTGTGCCACCACGCCCGGCCATTCTGGATGATACTTTGTAAACTTTTAAAACAAATACCTCTGGAGGTCTTCAGGTCCTAATACCTGCATAATCTGTTCATTCACATCTTCATTAATCAGCCTACAGAGTTTTCCAACAGTGCTTACCAGCACACACAATGAAGATGAACTATCTGCAAAAGAGAAATAAAAGGATATTTTAACAGAGAATTTTCAAAATTACATACATCAAACATTTTATGCTTCAATTATCCTCAATTTTTTTCACTTAAAAATTTTTTTATCGGCCAGGTACGGTAGCTCACGCCTGTAATCCCAGCACTTTGCGAGGCTGAGGCGGGTGGATCACCTGAGGTCGGGAGTTCAAGACCAGCCGGACCAACATGGAGAAACCCCGTCTCTACTAAAAATACAAAATTAGCCAGGCATGGTGGCGCGTGCCTGTAATCCTAGCTACTCGGGAGGCTGAGGCAGGAGAATCGCTTGAACCCGGGAGGCGGAGGTTGCGGTGAGCCGAGATTGTGCCATTGCACTCCAGCCTGGGCAAAAAGAGTGAAACCCCGTATCCAAAAAAAAAAAAAAATTATCTACTTTTTGTTAATTTACTAAAAATTCTTAAATGGGGGCCAAAAATGACAAACTAGGTCATCACCTAATTCTAAGAGTTCTTGGAGGTTTCTCACAGCATTGTTCATTTCTCCAAGCCTAGTATAAACTTCATTCATTCGGGGATAGACTCCATTTAAAGAAGGCACATCAAATAACTTTTGGAAGTGAGAGACAATAGCTTGCAAAGTTTGAAAGTTTGGCATATTGCTGTCCTGTCCAAAAGAGAGGTAAAAAATAAAGAGTTCATATCTTAAAATAATCCCAAATAAAAACTTTTAAAAGACAAACAGAACTCTAGTAGAACAAATATTAATATCCACATCAAATTATCAATTTTTGAGATAAGAGAACATTAGAATGTGACCATTTATGTAAGTATTACCTTTTCCTTATTTTCAACTTCTTCCAACATAGTATCTACTATAAACAACAAATCTTCAACTTTGATACCTTCATTTTCATCCTGCTTCTTCAAATTATGCCAAGGTACCAGTTCTGCAGATAGTGTTTTCAAGGACTTATACAAATCCTTCATAACAAAAGAAACTATATGGTATTATTGATTTAAATAATTTCAATAGTAACATAATAGAACATAACAAAATTATAAGTTTATATATGTTTTATAAAATTAATAAAACAATTACACAGGTTAAATTATATATATATAACCATCAGTATTGTTTAATAAAAACACTATTACCGATTTAGAACAAGTCAGTTAAAATTAGGTTTCTCCCGGTAAACACAGGCTTTACAGAAAACATTATACACTGATTATTCTGAATCTGGGTGCTCTAAGTAATTTTATGTTATTTATTATTGTTCCATATTATTTCATTATTTTGAATTATTGATACACAAAGAATAAACTTGCCTTTGTATTTTGGTTTTGAGTATGTTATATAACAGTTTTATTGAGATGTAATTCATATACCATAAAATTTACCCTCATTAAGTATACAATTCAGTAGTTTTAATATTTTCACACATGTACAAACATCAGCACTATCTAATTTCAGAACATATCCATTACTCCAAAAAGAAATCTCAGACCCAGTCACAGTCCCTCCTTCCCCATTTTCCCTTCCCTGCAGTTCCTAGGGTTGATCTCTAAACTATATTATATTTCTAAGGATTTGCCTATTCTGGGCATTTTGCATAAATGGAATTATACAATAAGTAGTCTTTGATGAATGGCTTCTGTCACTTAGCATAATGTTTTTGAGATTTATCCATGTTATAACATGTATCTCCAGGCAAGTTTTCAATGTGAAAGGTTCCCCAAATTTATTCTACATTATAATACTCAGTTTTCTTGGCCTAGTTGTGGTGCCCTAATTGATTTTAAACTGTGCACAATGGGCAAGGCTACTGAAAGTTTAGAGCTCTAAACTGATCAACTGACAAATATTTACTGAACATCTACTACAGGTTGAGAATCCCTAATCTAAAAATCTGAAATGCTCTAAAATCTGAAACTTTGAGCAACAACATGACACTCAAAAGAAATGCTCATTGGAGCGTTTTGAATTTCGGATTTTTGGATCAGGGATGCTCAAATGGCATATATTCTGCAAATACTCCAAAATCTGAAAAAATTCTTAAAACACTTCTAGGCCCAAGCATTGTGGATAAGGGATACTCAATCCATATGTGTATGGCACAGTGCTTGGTCCTTCAGAACAATGCTGTTCAAAAGAAATGTAATGTGAGCCACAGGAATTTTAAGTTGTCTAGGGCCATAGTATGGAAAGTGAAAAGAAACATGTGATATTAACTGTAATAGTATATTTTATTTAACCCAATATATCCAAAATATTATCATTTCAATATAAAAGCAATATTTTAATTTTTTCCATACAAAGTCTTTTAAATCCAGTGTATATTTTACACTTATAACGCATCTCAATCAGGACTAGCCACCTTTCAAGTGATCAATAACCACATGCAGCTAGAGGCTACCATACTAGATAGCATAGCTCTAGAGAACAGAAAGAAGTACAAGAAGTTCCTTCTTTTTCTAACTTATTTTAGTACTTCATTTGGCATTCTCCACTTAAGGCTCAGACTTCACATATTGGTATCTTTAACCTTTCAATTGGTAGGAAGGCAGTTACTATTATAGTAATTCATAGCAATAAATTTCATGTCAAATGAATGTTTTACCATCAGTGCCACTAGAATTTGAAAAAAAAAAAAAAGTCAGCAAATAACAGCATAATGATATCTTTATTAACCAATGCTCCAGCAACAAGGCACATTTATAAAGTAATCTATGGTAAAAAGCACACCCAATCTAATACATTTTTGCTTCAGAATAAAAGAGTATTACAAAGCTAAGAAGAAAAGATGTTCTGGTCTCCTAAGCAGTGACAGGATGGTTGTAGCACAGTCTATCAAGTAAGCTCTGAAAAATATGAGTCTCCTAGGTTCTTTACATTGCCCAGTTGTGGAGATGTAGAAGTACTACCATGGGCCAGCCTACCGTGTATGTCTGGCCTCTGAAGCACTGGAGAATAGGAAAGCGAAAGTATTCAAGAGTGTACTGGGTTGGGGAAAGCTACAACATCTGTAGTTCACCTTTCTTGGAAAGGCAGGAGGGAAAAGACACAAGGATGGAGGCGGCTGGCTCCATGTCTTTCCCAGCCTTCTTTTCTTCCAATTTTTAAAACTAGTAAAATACACATAAAATTTACCATCTTAACCATTTTTAAATGTAAGTTCAGTGTTATTAAATATGTTCATAATGTTGTGCAACCAACACCACCATCCATCTCCATAACTCTTTTCATCTTGTAACACTGAAACTTTATACCCATTAAACAATAACTTCCCATTTCCCTCCTCCCTCTAGCAATCACCACTCTACTTTGTCTCTATGATTTTCACTAAGTATCTCATATAAGTGGAATTATATAAGTGGAATCTTCTTGTGACTTATTTCACTTAGCATAATGTCCTCCTAATGTTCACCCATGTTGCATGGGTCAGAATTTTTCTTTTAATGGCTGAATAATATTGCAATATATGTATATACCACATTTTGCTTATCCACTCATTCCTCAAACCTATCCTACTCTTTAAAGCCAAATTAAACTGAGCAAAAAAACTAATAAGGGAAGATGGTTGTCCCAAACTTAGAGGTTGTTACATATCAAATAACCTTTAATATGAGGCCTCAGAGAATCTCATGCAGTTTCTTAATTCGGACCCTGAAACTGTAGTATTAATATCTGAAGCACTGCTCAAAACCCATGAGTTACTCCAATGGCAGAAGTAACTAATTCTTAATAATTTCCTCTTGGGTGTCCTCAGAATATTCTAATTATAAAGTGAATTCCTTGCCTCCTCCTACTCAGAAAACTATACAATAGCAAGAACTCACCACCACAGCAAAGCCTTTCTTGGGGGCTATAATCAGAGTGTTCTCTTTCTCCTCCAGACTCTAGAGCACAAGTTATCTGCATCATTCACTCAGAACTTCATCACAGGTAATCTATTTTTATGTCACTCATTTCTTTTAACGATATCATAAATGATTACATTTTGTTTCATATTTTTAAGTATATTTTGTCTCTCTAATTAGTGTGAATCTTGTGTTCATCCCATAATGGCTTAGCATGATAAATGTTTTATATTTTTAAGTATATTTTGTCTCTCTAATTAGTGTGAATCTTGTGTTCATCCCATAATGGCTTAGCATGATAAATGATCAATAACTATCCATTAATGTGATTCTTCCCTTTGTCTTCTTCCTCTTCTAGTCTTTTCTTCTAGGAAGGTTAGGGCTTTTTCTAGTCCTTCCCTTCTGAGAAGGAGAAAGGTGGAGTCAGCACTGTTCCCTCCTACTGGGAGAACCCTCTGACAGGCAATGATTGAGGAAATACCATGATTTACATGATTACTAATTATTTTACACTCTTCTGAGATACAGACTGGAGGAACTCCGGCCTATAAAGTAAGTATATTAATCCAGCACTGTCACTCAATCAAAATGTTTGTGTATTATGTAGCTCTGTCTGAGCCCTATATAAAAAGGCAAGTAGAAATTTTAAAAAAATTAACATCACCACCCCCAATTTTGTTGTCTTGGGATATATTATTCTGCTTCATTCCTTTAACAAATATTAATTGAGCACTCGTTCATCAGGAGGATCTTGGGGACATATCAGAACAAATAAAAACACTGTCTTCAGGGAGCTTATACATTCTTAAGAGATATCTTCTGCATCACTTGTACTTCATGTAATAAGACTTCTGTTGCAAACACTATTATTGAATCACATTTTCATTAACAGGCGTATGCTATGTATTATATTAGTTACTAAGAAATCTAAAGTTTAAAGGGCAAAGAAGTTAAATACTACTGATTTCAACTATTTACCTTTCAGCAAACTAGTTAAAACTGAAAAAACCTGAAACCATGCAATACGCAATAACTCTATAAAGTAAATAAAATGTAGTCTTCCATGAATAGATAGGATAGGGAAGGGTAGGGTTGGCTGCTAGCTTACTATCTGTTCTAGAGAATAAGCAGAAATGGAGACAAGCTCAGTTCTGAGAGACAGAAAATAAAGTGTGAAGAGAGAGAAAATATCCCCAATTATAACGAAATGAAGGATAAGACATTATATCTGAAGAGGAATAAGGGCCAGGAAAATCGTAGCATGGACATACCAAAAGGAGGCAGATGAAGGTAGAACAGGGAAAAGCCTAGAAGTACAAAGTGGATCCACTATAGATTTTCAATAAGGAAATTAACCCAAAAATTTCTTGTTTGGTAGAGCCTTAGAGGAAGTAAAGCTTACAGTAATGACAACATCAAAACAGTACGTAAAATAGATATGTAAGTAGGAAGATTTCAGTTTTAGATAAGTTTTTTTAGCTTTACAGTTAACAAACAAACAAAAAAATTAAACCCTATTTAATTTTTAGCCCTAAATTAAGTCCTATAAATAAAGCACATAGAGTCCAATAGATGTTCAAAGCATATAAAGAATAGTCAACCCCTTACCTTTAAGGATGTCAGTTGATCTGCCCACATTTCTATTATAGGAACAAGATGCTCAAATCCACAATCTTGAATAAGATCTTTATTAAAATTTTGGGCTCCCCCTTTGCTCTGTTTATAAATTATTACTGGAGCTCTTGGATTGTGGATAATTGAATTGATGCTACACAGCACCTTTAAAAAAAACATAGTGTATTTAGTCAAAATATTTATCCTATGCCTACAAAGTTATATATTTTAAAGGAGTGCTTTATGTCTATATATATTATATACATGCATTTCATTAAATATACAAAGAATTATCACAAGGAATTGGTTCATGCAATTATGAAGACTGACAAGTCTCAAGATTTGCAGTGAGTAAGTGAAGACCCAGAAAAGCTAATGGATATTTGCAGTCCAAACACAGGCAGACTGAGACCCCTGCAAGTGCTAATGTTTCAGTTTGAGTCTGAAGGCAGGAAAAAAAGTGTCCCATCTTGAAAGCAGTCAGCGGGGAGGAGTTCCCTCTTATTCAGCCTTTTGTTCTACTCAGGCCTTCAAATGATTGAATGAGGCCTACCCCATTAGGAAAGGCAGTTTGCTTCACTAAGTCTACTGATTCAGATGTCAATCTCATCCAGAAGCATCTTCCCAGACACATCCAGAATAATGTTTAACCAAATATTGGGCATCCTATGCCACAGTAAAGTTGAAACAAAATTAACTAATACAAACACCCATATAATCACTACCTAGGTTCAACAATTGTTAGTATTGTGCCATATTTGCTCACTATCTATATTTTTAGGTGAACCATTTGAAGAAACTCTGTACCCTGAAATAATAAAGCGTGCATCTTTTAAAAGTAGGCATATTCTCCTACAAACCCACAAGACCGTTATCAGACTATTTAAGGAAATTAACAGTAATCCCCAGGCTGAGTATGGTGGCTCATGCCTGTAATCCCAGGTTGAGGCAGGAAGATCACTTGAGCCCAGGAATTCAAGGCTGCAGTGAGCTATGATAATGCATTCCAGCCTGGGCAACAGAGCAAGACCCTGTCTCCAAAAATAATATCATTGATGCCTGGATTGAATTTTAAATATCTTAATATATTAAGATAGTATACTATTTGACTATAACCCTCTCCCCGTAAGTGATGAGTTCTACCTTAGATATCATCCAAGGATAAAAAGGGAGACCCCAAAAAGCATGTTTAAAGAGAGAAGAATAAAGCCATTTCCTATTACCACCATCAAGTTCAGCCTATTTAATAAAAAGTTTCACAATATAAAGATAGCATTTTGCTCCTGAATCTTCGTCCCTGGTCATACTTCAAGATATAACTAATAGGCCTCCTGGTAATATGACTTAATATGTTTATTATATTACTTCAGATGTTTATTTAGAAGCTTTTTAAGTCCAAATTAGTGTAATTCAATATTTTACTTCAGATTGATGTATGTATATATGTTTTATTTATTTATTTGACAGAGTCTCACTCTGTGGCCTAAGATGGAGTGCAGTGGTGCGAACAGAGCTCACTGCAGCGTTGAATTCCTGGGCTCAAGTGATCCTCCCATGTCAGCCTCTCAAGTGCTAGGACTACAGGTGCACGCCACCATGCCCAACTAATTAATTTTTTTTTCTAGAGATGTGGTCTCACTATATTGCCCAGGCTGATCTCAGACTCCTGGCCTCTAGCAATCCTCCTGCCTCGGTCACCCAAAGTGTTAAGATTACAGGCGTGAGCCACCATACCCGGCCTGAATTCCCCCTTTAAAGGACAAAGTCTCTCAAATTGAGTCTCAGAAACAAAACGAAATCCAGTTACATACTGGTAGAAGAAAGTCTAAAACAAAACAGTTTTCAGAAAGGTGCTTGGTTCCCATTTACAATAGCAATAAAAGTTATAAAATACCTAGGAAATAGCAAGGTATTTCCTAACAAGAAATATGCAAGAGCTAAATTTAAAAATACACAACACTTTATTGAAGACTATAAAAGATGACCCTGATGAAAGTACATATTTCTCTGAATGTGATGATTCAAAAAGGTTAAGGTGTCATTTCTCCAAATATTAATCCATAAAGTCAATTCAGTTTTAGTTCATCTCAATGGGATTTAGTTTTTAATTTGAAAACTGTTCATCCAGAAGAATAAATGTGCTAAAAATATAGCCAATAAAAATTTTTTTTTAAATGACAGGATACTTGCCTCAAGGGCTATTAAAACTTATAACTATAGAAATTAATATATGGAAACAGTTGAGAAATGCAACAGACTAGAGAATCTAAAAACAAATCTGTGCATATAAAGGAATATGATCTATGATAAAATGTTATTTCAATAAAGTAGAGAAAAAAGTAGCGTATTAGAGACTGCAAACACAGACACCCAGAGAATCCAGGTACGAGTATAAATGAGTGAAGTAAGGATGAATAGCAACTGGCTAACTACAGAACACATGCTCATATCTGACAAGGGAAAGGCCTAATTCTGCTGTGATAATAACCATGCAGAAATTTGTTGCCAGATCTTCTGACTTTTTAAGAGAAATTAGAAATAGCAGCCTAGAAAAAATAAAACATCTTAATTTAAAAAAAAATGAATAATCTAAAATTTAAAAATCTTATATGTACCCAATAAAATATGAGTGAAAGTCCAGTTCAGTCACTAAACTACCAGGTTTAACTGCTCAGCTATTCAATAAATGATCTGTAAAACTAGGAAGGTGAGATTCCCTATATCACACCATATAGAAAATTAATTTCAGATGAACTAAGGTCTCTACACAAAAACAAAAGCCATACAAGGACCCTAAGAAAATAGATTTACTTATATAATAATAATAGCAACAAAAGAAACAAGAAGAGGGAAAATGGCTTACAGGGGGAAGGAAGGAAAAGGATTATAAAATCTTTAAAAAATCTTAAAGCTCTTTACTAACCTGCTTTGAACTAGGCCCAGAGTCTCCTTTAAGTAGTAAGATGAAGTCTACAATGTTTTTAGTCAAACAGTTAGTTATATCACAGAAAAACAAAACAGAATAAGTACACATAAATATGAGGTGCAAGTATTCCTTACCAACTGATAATTTATTACACTGCAACTGATAACCAAGATTCATGACGAACATCAGTCTTTTTGTCATGAAAAATCAATTCAATACCTGAAAGTATCTCTGGTCAATTAGGGCCTGTTGCTGATTATATTTGCTGGGCTCATCTTTTTTCTCTGTGTCCTCAGCCTTCTTAGGACTAATAAGCTCCTGTAATCTAAAAGGGAGAAAAAAATCAAGATAATGCAAAATTATTTCCTAGACACTGGACCAAGATGATAAACTAAGTAAATGATCCAGTCACCCTCCCAACAGCCTTATATCAGTTCACTTATATGTATGTGTGCACACATATATGTATGTATATTTATAAACATATATATATATGCCTATATAGAGTTAAAAAAAATTTTTTTTTGCGACGGAGTCTCGCTCTGTCACCCAGGCTGGAGTGCAGTGGCGCGATCTTGGCTCACTGCAATCTCCGCCTCCCGGGTTTACACCATTCTTCTGCCTCAGCCTCCCGAGTAGCTGGGACTACAGGAGCCCGCCACCATGCCCGGCTAATTTTTTGTGTTTTTAGTAGAGACGGGGTTTCCCCATGTTAACCAGGATGGTCTCGATCTCCCGACCTCGTGATCTGCCCGTCTCCGCCTCCCAAAGTGTTGGGATTACAGGCGTGAGCCACTGAGCCCGACCAGAGTTTAAAAAATTTTAAATCATATTGTCACTGGAAAACAAGAAGGCCCTCTCAATAAATAGCAAATCTGAAGGAATCTCTGAAGACAGAAGAGATCAGATGGAAGAAGAAAGTTCTAACCAGCCCCCAACACCCACAAAAGACAGCACAAGAGAGAAATACAACAAAGGATGGAAGCGACTTCCATCCAAGGTGCTCCAAGCTTACAGACTATAGATAAAGGGAGCAGGAAGCGTGGGAAGGGCCACTGGTTTGGGTACTGTAGCAGGAACAGCTAGACGTTTGGTCCCTCTCTCTTTGTATTCTACTAACAGCAAAGAACAGACAACGGCGATGCCTGGGCCAGTCAAGAGGGCATGGAGATCCAAGAGACCATTATTCCAGGTGGCTGCTAGAATGCTGGGGGAAAGGAGAGTCTCTTTACCCAGAAATACAACTATGTATAAGTGTATCCACCTAGTAGCAAACACTTGTCCTTCTCCAAATATCTAGAAGACAGCTTGTAATAATCTTTCTCCTCCCTCCTCATGCCTTTGAAAACAGTACCGTAGTACATACTGATCCGTAGTTTCACTTTCCATGGTTTTAGTTACGCAAGGTAAACCAGGGTCCAAAAATACTAAATGGGAAATTCCAGAAATAAGTTTTAAAATTTATTATTTTTTAATGTGCACTACTCTGAGTAGTGTGATGAAATCTCATACTGTCCCACTCCATCCTACCTAGGATGTGATTCATCCCTTTGTCCAACTTATCCATGCTGTAACTGTATACACTACCTACCAATTAGTCACTTAGTAGCCATCTTGGTTATCAGATCAACTGTTGGGTATCACAGTGCTTATGTTCAAGTAACAACCCTTATTTAACTTAATAATGGCCCCAAAATGCAACAGCAGCAATGCTGGCAATTTGGATATGCCAAAGAGAAATCATAAAGCGCATCCTTTAAGTGAAAAGGTGAAAGTTCTCCACTTAAGAAAAAAATTGTATGCTGAGGTTGCTAAGATACACAGTATGAATGAAATCTTCTACCTGTGAAATTGTGAAGAAGGAAAAAGAAATCTGGGCTAGTTTTGCTGTTGGACCTCAAACTGCAAAAGTTACAGCCACAGTGTGTGATACATGCTTAGTTAAGATGGAAAAAGTGGCTGGGCACGGTGGCTCACGCCTATAATTGCAGCACTTTGGGAGGCCGAGGCGGGAGGATCACGAGGTTAGGAGTTGGAGACCAGCCTGGCCAACATGGTAAAACACCGTTTCTATTAAAAACAAAAAACAAAAAACAAAAAAACAAGCATAGTGGTGTGTGCCTGTAATCCCAGCTACTCGGGAGGCTGAGGCAGGAGAATTGTTTGAACCCGGGAGGAGGCAGAGGCTGCAGTGAGCTGAGATCATGCCATTGCACTCTAGCCTGGGCAACAGGGCGAGACTCCATCTCAAGGAAAAAAAAAAAAAAGATGGAAAAAGCATTAAATTTGTGGGTGGAATACATAGACATAAATATGTTCCAATTGATGGCGATTGGGTTTGGTTCTGAGGTCTCAGGTATCTACTGGGGGTCCTGGAACGTATCCCCCATTGATAAGGGGGGACTACTGTAGTCTCTTAATAGTCCTTCAAATTACCCCTCTTCAATTTGAGTATGCCATCAGTTTCCTGCTGGGACTTCAACCCACTAAACTGACTCCTATGACTCATTAATGATGCGCTCTGCCTGCTGTTTGTAAAAACAGAATAGTAAAACTCCATCATGTCATTTTCCTGTTGAAAAACATATCAATGATTTCCCATTCCTTTATGTGCTAAATCTAATTTCCTTGGGCTAGCGTTCAAAACTCTCCATGCTGTTAGTCCTAACAGAGTATTTCTTTCTTTTTTTTGGAGATGTAGTCTCACTCTGTCACCCAAGCTAACTGGGTCATGCAGTGGCATGACCTCACCTCACTGCAACCCCTGCCTCCCAGGTTTAAGCGATTCTTCTGCCTCAGCCTCCCAAAGTGTAGCTGCGACTACAGGCATGCGTCACCATACCCAGCTAATTTTTGTATATTTGTTTGTTTGTTTGTTTTTAGTAGAGAGGGGGTTTCACCATGTTGCCCAGGCTGGTCTCAATCTCCTGACCTCAGGTGACCCACCCGCCTCAGCCTCCCAAAATGCTGGGATTACAAGAGTGAGCCACCGAGCCCGGCCAGTCCTAACATAGTATTTCTCCTGACGCCTTTCTTACTTGATTCTACTACTACCATTACCCACTCCAGTCACATATATTCCCCTTATATTCACTCAATTGCTATTCTCTGCTATTTCTAGTGAGTATATATATATTTGGCCCAAGCCAAATTATAAATGACTTCCTATCTATTTACTACATTCACATTCTTCAGTTTTGCCTAAAGGCAGTGCCAAGAGCATATTATCCAGAACAAAAAAGGACACAGAAAAGCTGATGTGGCCTCTAGAAGGACTAGAAGTAAACTGATATATCTGAATTTAAATGTTAGTTCCTTTCACTTAGGTGAAAATGTTCAACTTATCAATGAATTGTTTGCAAATCTGATTAATAAATGTTACACTGTAGATATACAACATTTTTGCTGTCAGTGCAATAATCTAAATATATAATTGCATGTACTGATTAGTTACTCTGGGAAATGAAATGTGATTCTATTAACCAGATGAATAAAGAGATACATCCTCGCTTAATAATTACAGTAACTAAAATTTACTGGGAGCCTAATGATGGTAACTAGTAGGTACTGAGAGCCTTCTCTATGCAGGAATTCTAAGCACTGTACATGTATTAACTCATTTAGTCCCATTGTTTTTCTAAGTTTATATAAGACAATGATTAGTAAAAGCTGAGGACTCAGGAAACTGTTTCACTTAGTCTCACAGAAAATATCTGCCATTAACAGTACTACTGAAAAACTTCACATTCTGCAAAATCATGCAAGTAATTAACAGGGCTCAGGAGAAAACAGTATTAGAAACCAAACTACTTACAACTGATGTAGCTTTAGAACTGGAGAATAAAAACAATAATTGGTGCCTCAGGAGTTAAGTTGGACAGATCAAGCATGTCTGGAGGTTGCCTCAGGATATATTAAAAATGCACAGACAACAAAGAAGAAATGTTGGCTTACCCATGCCAAGACAAGACGACTGAAGTGGAGCCCTGGGCCAAAGAAGCTGAGGTTAAAATGGGCAAGGGAGGAAGTGCAACTTGCTTCCAGCCTATAGTCTGTCTAATGCTGGGGGTCAGGGAAGGAGCCCAGGGTACTGTTGGCTCATTCTAAATTTTCTTAAACGAGAGCTAAAAGGGCACTTGTCTATGTACTAGCAAAGCTTGCGCCCTTCCTGAAGGCTATAACTATTACTGCTGTTATTATAGTGCCTTGAGTCTAGGAAAAACGATACATGTACGATATAACTTCCATGTTATATTGCTGATTTATTCCTCATTTTCTATCTGCATGACTTAATTGTCATTTTAGAAACCTGTGTTGTAGCTGCCTGGGCTGTACTCAGAAATATGGTAGAGTTGTTCTACAGTATCCAGAGCAGTCAGGAAGGGCCTGAAAGATAATAAAAATCCCCTAGGAGTGGCTAAGGGGTACTCTGCATGCTTTGCAGACTCTTACTCCATGTATTCAGCAGCAGCAACTATGTTTTTTTGTGGACACTGAGAAAACAGAAAACTGTACCTCCAACTTAAAATATGCTGTGTTATCTATTTTGTATAGCCATCTCCATAAGATAACTTTCCATGTGCAGAAACTTTACAGCTTTTAACTGTGTTCTGTTAGAGCTTTTCCGTGATATCACAGTGGAATAAGATCCATGCTGGAGATGAGGAACAAGTTAAAAAAAGGACTGCCAATTTTGTTTTTAAAAATTCCACTAATTTAACTACATTAATGCAAAACACATAGGTACATCAGTGTGAACTTTTCAAAGCTATATTGTTCGCCGAGTCTTTTACCCTACAATCTTAGGACTTCCTAAGACAGTTAGTGATGAAAAGAGGGGTGGTTCACTTCAACCCAGCACCAGTGCCAAACTCTGAAGGCAAGTGTTTCTCTAGTTGAAAAGTCCAGCTCCTGGCTAAAATCCAATGTGTTATATTTCAGGCACAGCCATAGGTAATTACAAAGGCTTTGCCTAGAAGATCTCTTGCGGGGAAAGCTGTCCCCTCCACACCAGACATGATGCACAGCCTGTGCACTGCAATCTCTGGAGACAGTTGCAGTCAAGGACACACCACCTCCTTTCCTTCCTGAAAGCTATACTACTACTACTGTTATTCTAGTGCCTTGCCACAAGCATTTCTGCATTCCTACCCTAGGCACCTCCATTAGGGGCCTCTTGGAGCTTAGACTGAGTCATGTGTCAAGTACCTGTATCCAAGATCTTCTCATTGGTGGAGAAGCCTTAATTAAAATACTTTTCTCCACTCTGACTCAGTACTTTTCCACTCCTAGCCTTTCTTCTCCCTACACCTTAAAACAGTAGGAATCTTTTGTGCAGGGCTCCTAGGCAGTGAGATGGTTCCCCCCATCTGGGTGTATGTCAGACTGTTCCTCGCCTGGTGCTATTCCAATAGGGGAAAATGCAACATCGAGGAGTCAGCCCTTTTCATTTTAGCCTCTTGTTTATCCTATAGCAGTAAGTTAACAGTTTGACTGTTAATTTCACTTTGGCTCATTGGCCTAACCACTTCAAGGACTGTCAGCTCAACACAGAGTGGCTGTAAGATTTTGTTTTTCCCCTAGCAAAACATAAATACTATTGAAAAATTAAATGAAATTAGTGTAGTACCTTTGTTTATCTTACAGAGGCAGACTTATTTAATCACTTCCTAACAAGGTAATTTTATAATCAGCCTGTTTATAATAATAACTCAAGAAGAGTTCATGTTCTCCCACATTAAATTGTTAATAGCCTTATTTGACATTGAAAGTTTGTTAACTACAAATCTAAAAAAAAACACAAACTAACTCAATTTTCTTTGGTTCCAAAAAGAAAAGAGACTATACCCTCTTCCATTTCTTGTAGCATTTCCTTTGGAAAATCTGTAACTATAAATCCTTTACTCTCTTTAAGATGTACATAAATCTTATTAAGAGCTAAATAAGGCTCTTGCCAGTTTTGAATTTCAGCAATGTCTTTCTTGGGGGCTTTGGAATCATTTCTTTGAAATGTGAACATCTCGGAAGATGGTACCTTGTTTCCCTGACTCTGCTGGAATTTTGTCTAGGCTCCTGGCCCCAAGTTGTAACCTCTTACTTATCAAAAAACAATAGAAGTTTTTATTTTTCCTTTAATACAGATAATTAACATGTATATAATGGATTGTATCTGCCTGGCTATACAAAAAGGTGACATTTCTTTCTGTCCTTGCAATATCTCTAACAGATTGCCTGTAATGTGCGTCACAATCTGATTGAATCTGATTGAATTCAGTAATAAAACTGTTTCTTTTTTTTTTCCTACATTTGTAAAGAGAATTCACTGGATGGACAGGAGAGTTTAGTTTTAATTATTTCCCCAGCATCAGTAGTACTCTGAAAAAATATGCTACCTCTGGCACTACAGAAATAAAAGTTTTTTAAGTTTTACCTTGAAAAGTAAAATTTTTTAAGTTTTTTAAGTTTCTTTAATTTTAAATTTCTTAAGTTTTAAAAATATTTTCTGTTTTTTAAGTTTTACCTTGCAAAGTAAAAATTTTGTAAGTTTTACCTTTAAAATTTTTGTTTCATTGAGTGTTCTGTTTACTTCTAACTGTATGGTATCTAAGAGTATAAGTTTTGGAGTCAGAATGATTGGATAAGGATCTGATTTCTATTCAAGTTCTTCCATATACGAGTAACCTGTATAACTTGGCTAAATTATATAACACTCCCAAATTTGTTTCCATGTTTCCATGTCTAGATACTACCAAAGTTTTAAACTTTAAAAAGAGATTTAAAAACAAAAACACATCATTTCTTCAAAATTTAGAGGAAAAATATAGCAGAAATTGGGTCTGAATCATAATTTTAAAGGACGATAATAAAAGTCACTCTAAAGACCAGAGCTCAAATAAACAACAACAACAATATATATCTATATGCAGTCAATTCTCATTATTCATGGTAGTTATGTTCTATAAAATCACCATGAATGCTGAATTAGCAAATACTGAACCACTTGCTCCTAGGGAAAATACAGGGTCAGGTTCCTGCAAGTCTGGACACATTTTCCTTAAATAATCAATATATAACCTTGTTGTATGTATGTTTCTATTTAAAGATACCTTTAAAATATATATATAGTTGATTCATTAACATTGAACCCATGGACAACAGTACTCTATAAGTCATACCTGATAAAGCTTATCTAATAGGTATATTTTTTCCACAAGGCATATTATAGCCTTCTTGTGGATAAGAACACCAAACAGCGCTTCAGCACTAACTCAGGGGCCATCTTAAAGAAATCACCAACAAAAAGCATAGAAATGCAAAAAAAAAAAAAAAAAAAAAAAGTATCACTAAATAGATAGGAGAAAAGGACATTTGTTTACAGTGTGACAGCTCAAACAACAGGGCAGGGCATCATCTTGTTTGAAAACTAAACACGTGCGTGTTGGGTGACCCAAATTATTTTCCGCCCCGTACATGTCCATGAATGACTGCAGGTGCTGTACGGATTTTGTGATTATAAATAAATTTTAGCAGGTAGGCAAATTCATAAATATGGAATCTATGAATAATGAAGACTATGTATCTCTATGTATGCATAAGTGCATGCATGTGTGTACGTGTGTGTGTGTATCTTATACACTTGCTTTAGAGTCAACAGGTTTCCTTCTCTTTTTACTTCCCTACATCCTCCTCCTCCCAGTTGCTTCTCTCTCAATCTCCTATCTCATTAATGGCACCGACAACCACCTTGTTATTCAAGGTTAAAACTTGGGAGACTTCTGATTCTTCCTTTTTCCCCACAACTCCCTATATTCAACCCATCATGAAGTCCTATTGGTTCTACCTCCATTCTCCAATTCCAAATACTTCTCATCACCTCCACTACTGCCACCTTTGACCATGTCACTACCATCTCTTCTCCAAACTCATATAATGGCTACTCACCCAGTAGTGTACGTTTAGTACTTATAGTATATTGAAATTGTCTTATTTATTTTTTCATTATCTTTCTCCCTGCATGTAATCTCCATGAGGTCGGGGGCCTTTTCTATTTTGCTTACCACTGCAACCAGTGCCTAGAATGCCAAACAGATGTAAGAAGAATTGGAAGTACACAAAATATCAAGGAATAGTAGGAAGGGAATAATTATTCATTGAATATGCATGCATCCTTTCTGAACCTGCCACTTCTCTTTTCTTTTTTAGTTTTCCTCCTCTATTATCTTTTTTTGGGGGAGAGGAGGGGTGGAGGGACAGGGTCTTGCTCTGTTGCCCAGGCTGGAGTACAGTGGTGTGATCACAGCTCACTACAGCCTTGACCTCCTGAGCTCAAGCAATCCTCCCACCTCAGCCTCCTCAGTAACTGGGGCTACAGGTAAGCACCACCACACCTGGCTAATTTTTAAATTCTTTGTAGAGACAAGGACTCACTACATTGCCCAGGCTGGTCTTAAACTCCTGGACTCAAGCAGTCCTCCTGCCTCAGTCTCCCAAAGTGCTGGGATTACAGATGTGAGCCACTGCACCTGGCCCCTATTATTTTAACCCAGTATGTAATTACTCGTTACTCATGATACTTGCCTGTCACTGTGTTATGTGTTGCCACAGGAAGGAGGAAACACAGCTGTCACTGAACTGAATCATATATGCTAATACAATTGACTTAATACATTTAATGCATATATTAACTCATAGCTTTCAAAATATTTCATCCCAACACTCCCCAAACTACTTTCTCAAATCCCATTCCCTTGAATCAAAGAGTACACATACATAATCTTCAGAAAACACAATCACTGTTTGAGATCAACTCTTTGAAACACTGAGCACTTGCTTTCCAAAGTCAGGAAGGGTACAACCAGTAGATATAAATGGCTCACTGCATTCCTTCTGGTACTTTTAAAGTGTGATAAGGCTCACTTTAAAACATTCAGATCATAACTACCAACAACAAAAATTGGAGGCTTGTCACTTCTAATTTCATTGATTCTCTTGCAATTCTTCCATTACTTCCGAAGACAATTTTCTATTTAAAATCTTTGTCCTTTATTACTTCAGGCAACTACCTTTTTTTGTTCTCACTTAAGATAAATATATAGCCAAATCCGGCATAGTAAAAATTGCTCTTAAACTGTGAAACCAGAAATACCCCCTTTTAATGTCATCAGCCTGGTAGGTCCAAGTCAAAGCCACTAGGAGGTAGCATAAGCTGACATGTAATAAAAATAAATAAAATAAGGCCGAGCACAGTGGCTCACGCCTGTAATCCCAGCACTTTGGGAGGCCGAGGCAGGCGAATCACGAGGTCAGGAGATCGAGACCATCTGGCTAACATGGTGAAACCCCGTCTCTACTTAAAATACAAAAAAAAAAAAAAAAAAATTAGCCAGGGGTGGTGGCAGGCTCCTGTAGTCCCAGCTACTCAGGAGGCTGAGGTAGGAGAATGGTGTGAACCTGGCAGGTGGAGCTTGCAGTGAGCCCAGATTGCGCCACTGCACTCCAGCCTGGGCGACAGAGCAAGACTCCATCTCAATAAATAAATAAATAAAATAAAAAATCCTAATAAAAGCAGTAATTTTGGTAAAAATATAATTACTTGACACTTTTCTTAAGGGCTTTTTCCAGCTTCTTCACCTGCTGTTTATAAAGTCTTAATTCATGCTGTGTGGGCCTGTGGAAAATAAATAATGATAAATTAATTCAATTTACTGAATAAAACCATAAAGGTACTTAAATAAACGACATACAATACTTTGTTACTTGTCACAAATATACTTATTAAACTTCTGAAAATATTTCATGATTGCTAATTTGGTGTTTACCAGCCATTTAGATTTCTTCTTCTCTGTTATCCCTTATTCAAAGCCTTTTAGTTATTTTTTGCTGCTAATCTATTACTTGTTTTTATAGTGAAATATTTCAAGTATACAGACAAAAACAGAGAACATTATAACAAATCCTGGTGTATCCACCACCTAGCTTTATCAAATTTGAATATTAACAGATTATGATTCAAATCTTAAACTTTATTCATATACTTAAAATTCCACATGTCCCTCATTAATGTCATTCTTCTCCTTCCCATACCATAGATAACCACTATCCTTAATTCACTGTTCATTATTCCCATGTATGTTTTAAAATTTTTACTATTTAATCATAAATTTACATATTATTGTGTTCAAGGTTTTCACATTTTATGTAAATGACTTATGCTAGGTATCAGGTCCCTCTCTCCATTAAGGTGTAAGTTTTTTGTTGTTGTTGTTGTTGTTGTTTGTTTCTTTTGAAACAGGGTCTCACACTGTCACCTAGGCTGGAGTGCAGTGGCACGAGTTCAGTTCACTGCAACCTCCGCCTCCCAGGTTCAAGCTATTCTCCCACCTTGACCTCTTGAATAGCTGGGACTACAGATGTGCACCACCACCCCTGGCTAATTTTTGTATTTTTTTGGTAGAGACAGGGTTTCACCAAGTTGGCCAGGCTGGTCTCAAACTCCTGACCTCAGGAGGCCTGCCTCAGCCTCCTAAAGTGCTGGGATTACAGGCGGGAGCCACCGTGCCCAGCCATTAAAGTATAAGCTTATTGAGAACAGGAAATTTGTTTTGGTCTCTTCTTCATCCCAGAGTTTGGGACAATGTCTAACTTACAATAGGTATTCAAATACTTGTTGAATGAAAACAAGACTCAAAAATGTTTATTCTTTATTACTGTCAACATAGAGAGTGTCATCCTTTTGTAGCTATGCTGGATATAACTTTCTGTTGTGTGCCATTATAAATTTTACTTTTCTTCTCATCCCACAGCACAGGAATAAGAACAACAAGGCATTCCAGTATAATTTGAGAATGAGAACTCTGCTGGTATAAGACTGAATCTAATATAGTAAATATTAATGTATTGTACATTTCAAAATCACTAAGAGTAAATTTCAAACGTTTTCAGCCACAAAAGGTATTAGATGATGGATATGTTAATTAGCTTGATTTAATTATTCTGCATTGTATTCATGAATCGTAACATCACTTTGTGCCTCATAAATATATACAGCTGTAATTTGTCAATTAGCAATTAAAATAAAAATTTAAGATAATAATCATGCTGAGTGAAAGACAATAGACCAAAAAAAGTAAATATTGTATAGCTCCACTTATATGAAGTCTAGGAAATATAAACTAATGCATAATGACTAAAAGCAAACCAGTGGTTACCTGAGGCAAAGGCAAAGAGAGGCAGCAGGGATTACAAAACAGGCAAGAGATAACTTTTAGGGTGTTTGTTTTTTTTTTGTTTTTGTTTTTAAGAGACAGGGTCTCTGTTGCCCAGGTTGGAGTGTAGTGGTATGAACACAGCGCACTGCAGCCTTGACCTCCCTCCGGGGCTCAAGCGATGTTCTCACCTCAGCTTCCTTAATAGCTGGGACTGCAGGAGTACACTACCATGCCTGGCTAATTTTTTAAATTTTTTTCTAGAGACGAGGTCTCACGTGTTGCTCAGGATGGTCTTGAACTCCTGGCCTCAAACAATCCTCCTACCTGGGCTTCCCAAAGTGCTGGTATTATAGGCATGAGCCACTGCACCTAGCCTCCAAGGTGATTATCTGGATTATAACTGTTTCGCAGGTGTATACACATAATTCAATAAATTGTGTACTTTACATATGTGCAATGTACTGTACACCAATTGTAACTCATTAAAGCTATTTTTTTTTTTTTTTTTTGAGACGGAGTCTCACTCTGTCGCCCAGGCTGGAGTGCAGTGGCCGGGTCACAGCTCACTGCAAGCTCCACCTCCTGGGTTCAGGCCATTCTCCTGCCTCAGCCTCCCGAGTAACTGGGACTACAGGCGCCCGCCACCTCACCCGGCTAGTTTTTTGTATTTTTTTAGTAGAGACGGGGTTTCACTGGGTTAGCCAGGATGGTCTCGATCTGCTAACCTCGTGATCCGCCCGTCTCGGCCTCCCAAAGTGCTGGGATTACAGGCTTGAGCCACCGCGCCCAGACAGCTATTTTTTAAAAGCAAAAAAAAAAAAAAAAAACTGAATCTTTTTTTAGTTTTTTTTTTTTTTTTTTTAAACAGGGTCTCGCTCTGTCACCCAGGCTGGAGTACAGTGACATGATCATGGCTCACTGCAGCCTTGACCTCCTGGGGTCAAGTGATCCTTCCACCTCAGTCTCCTGAGTAGCTGGGACTACAGCCAGAGACCACCACACCCGGCTAATTTTTATATTTTTTGTAGAGAAGGGGTTTTGCCATGTTGCCCACTCTGGTCTCGAATTCCTGCCTCAAGCAATCCGCCTGCCTCTGCCTCCCAAAGTGCTGAGATTACAGGCGAAAGCCACTGTGCCCAGCTTATTTGAAGTTCTTAGCTAGTTTTAACTTCTTCCATGTGGACTCCTATTTTCTCATTTCCCTTGCCTACCCGTGTGTTCTTGTTCCTTTCGTAAGTTATCGTGGGAGAAAACTGACTAAAGTGAGTATAAGAATATTATGTACTCATGATTAGCTTTAGAGCAAAGGAGATAGAATGGTGCATTTAATATTCCAAATTCCAGTATATGTTTACTTTTCAAAGGATGAAGAAAAATTGACCGGGATGCAGTGGCTCATGCCTGTAATTCCAGTACTTTGGGAATTCCGGCACTGAGCCTAGGAGTTCAAGATCAGCCTAGGCAACACAGGTAGACCCCATCTCTACCAAACAAAAAATTAAAAAATTAGAGGCCGAGCGTGGTGGCTCATGCCTGTAATCCCAGCACTTTGGGAGGCCAAGGACAAAGGATCACTTGAGGTCAGAAGTTCAAGACCAGCCTGACCAACATGGCGAAACCTCATCTCTACTAAAAATACAAAAAATAGCCAGCCGTCGTGGCGTGCACCTGTAATCCCAGCTACTCGGGAGGCTGAGGCAGGAGAGTCACTTGAACCTGGGAGGCAGATGTTGCAGTGAGTCGAGATCGCGCCACTGCACTCCAGCCTGGGGGACAGAGTGAGACTCTGTCTCAATTAAAAATAAATAATTTTAAAAATTAGCTGGGTGTGGTGGCTCGCACCTATAGTCCCAGCTAAGGGACTTGATTAGTCTTGAGCACTAGAGGTCAAGGCTGCAGTGAGACATGATCACACCACTGCACTTGGCCTGGGTGACAGAGTGAAACCCTGTCTCAGAAAAAAAAAAAAAAAATACTTAAGTTTCTCTCACCTGGTTTCCAAATCTTTTTGGAGGTTCAGCTTTTCACTTAAAAGTGCATCAATCTGAGAGTTTGACTCCTTGAGTTGATTCTGTAATGACTGCAACACATTTCATAGAAAAATAATTAACTTTCTTAGATTACTTACTTTATTAAAAAGTATTTATTGGTTATGCAGTCCCCATACCATTAAAAGGCCTTTATAAGTTGGTGAGGCATCCAGACTTCCGTAGTCATTTTCTTCTTCTGACTGACTTTCATCTTCTTTATATTGCCTATGAAAATATGCATGCAGTATACTTATGAAAAATCTATCTTCAAAGAAAAAAATCTAATTAAACCAACATAATGAGGGTTTAATCATCTAAACATGAATTAAAATTAATTCAAATTTCCTACTTGTTCTCATAGAGAATGGTATTAGAACACTACTACTATCTATTATTATAGGACATACAATATCCATTTACTCTCTTTTTATTTAGAATATATGATCCATGAGGACCAGAACTTTTGTCTTATTCACCACTGTATCTCACTGCCTAGAAAAACTACGGACTATAAGAGGTGAAAAAGCACTGCCGAATAAACAAAACGAAACATAGGTGGAACATCCAGGTTCTTTCAAAAAATGCATTCACATACTATTTTTTTCCTTCTAGTACTTTTAGGTAACCAAAAAACCTATATGAAAAAATGCAGATCATAAGTGGAAAAAGCAACAGATTTAATAGTCTTGGTTCAAGCCTTGATAACACCACTAACTAGTTGTATTATTTGAATAAATCAATCTCTCAGAATTTATTTTCTCATCTGTAAAACAGTATCTGTCACATCTACTTTACAGGACTGATGTAAAAAGCAAACGAAAGATACTGAAGGACTCTGTGAAATGCAAAGTGCTAGCAAATACATATGATTATTTTTAGCAATCTTGATTAACTATCACTGTGATGTCCTATATGGTAACCAACAGCTACATGAGCTAGTGGTTACCGCTTAACACTTGAAATATGGGTAATGCCACCAAAGAAATAAACTTTGAATTTCATTAAATCTTAAATTTAAAAATTGAAGCAGTATAAAATACTTTTCTGTTAAGTACAACTTTATTGTTTAAGGACTACATTTCGCTTTAACTGTTGCATAAAGTATTACTATTGTAGCCTAGTGTGCACTGGGTACATGCATATTTCTAGTATTACACATAAACATATCACCAGTCTAGTAAGTTATCAATGGATTGATTCAGTTCAAATGATTTATTTATTCCCAATGTGTTTATTTTATGCATGTGCATATAGTCTGATGATAAAAACAACAACAACAACAAAAAACTTTGGACAACACTGGCTTTAAAAAAATGGATAAGCAGAGAAGCTTTTGCCACTGCAAGAGGCCCACGTCCCACCTGTCTTCTTCCTTTGGTCTTGCTGCTTCAGTTCTACAGGTTCATAGCTCTTCTCCTGTGCTTCCTGTTTATCCTACTTAGGCCTCCAAATCTTAGCCTGTCTTCCCCTCTCTCCTCTTTCATCTTCTTTACTAATGTAATACTTGTCAATGAATTGTTACATCCTCTTTTTACAGTACTCCTACTTCTTTAGATGATACTTATATCCTATTGGTAGATCTCAAAATCTATCCTGAAATTGCCAGAATCTCACTTTCAAGTTAGTACTCACTCTTAAAAAGGAGACTGAGTTTATAATATAAACTCCGTTCAGTCAATGAATCCTGAAAAACTCCCTCCTTAGGAGACTCTTTTTATTGCTGCAAATTTTCTCATTTGTAGAATATTATTTATTAATGTATCTCATATTTTCTTCCTATCCTCCACTTCCCTCAATAAGACATTCAATCCAAATATCTGACCCAAGGATAATCTGCATAGGCCAAAATACTTTACTTCAGCTAGACAACTAATGAAAAGCTTTTTAAGCTAAAAAGTGATTCTTCTCCAAGTCGCTTGTTCCTCAACCCCAGATTTTCATTACAAATTCATGACAACTAAATTCAATACCACCACTCCAATGGCCTCAATCCTTTTGTCACCTTTAGTCAGAGAACCCCGTTTGCAGAACTCTACAAGTACCTCTCACATCATATTCTACATGAAAAATTTCCTGATGGCTATGTTATGTTAAATCTATTCTACTCTTACCAAAAACCCCAAATCCCCTCTCTTCATCATCTAGATCAGGGGTCAGCAAACTGCTGTCTGCAGGCTATATTCAGCAGGCCGTTGGTTTTGTAACTATTTTTATTGTAACACACCTGTGCCAATTCATTTACATATTATCTGTGTCTGATTTTGTGCTACAACAGCCTAGTTGAGTAGTTGTCCTATCTTTGTAGAATCTCTACCATCTAAACGACAGTTTCATTTGGAAGTCAGAAGGTCCCTGATGCTACTTGATAAAATGCTGCTTTCTGAAAAGAATATAAAGCAAGAAGTTGCTTTTTAATTAGTTGCTCTCTTCTCCCTTCTTTCCTTCTTCCTTTTCTTTTCCCTTTCTTCTTATTTTTTTTTCTTTTTTGGAGTCCCCATGGTACTACAGATAATCAGCAACCAGCAACCCACAGAGCTCTGCCATTGTTCTCTCCAAGATTTTGGAAAGTCACTATTCTTGGGGCAAAACTACTCGAGCGTATGCTTCATTAAAATGAAGAATTATCTGCTGTATTATGGGATCCTAATTACTTAGAACATGGTACAAAATAGGTGCTCAAATACATATTTGTTAAAAGAACTGTTCCATCTATAAATAATAAAAAGATTAGCTACTGTTTTAGTGACCTTACATTAAAGCATTTTAAATTATATCTTAGATATCCTTCAACTATTTTAGTTTAGCCAAAACCATTTATCTCTATGCTTATTTAATCATGTGATAAGTGTATTTTAATCTATAAGCTTGATTTTTCACTGACATTTTATGTTTATCTCACATAAATCTGCATACTAATTAGGTTGCACTTTGGTAGGCAGCCAATCTAATTCTATGCACTTTGTGGATATACTCAGTAACTACCCAGGGGCTAGATCACATCAGTAGAAAAAATTGTAATACTTCAAGAAAATAAAGGGAAATACCATTTCCGTTGTGACCAATACTTCGGTGATAAATAAGTATACATAATTTAACATAAATACAACAAAACATCTTGACTTAAGTTGTAAAATACAGTCTTCAAGATCTTTATAAAAAAGAACTTCACAGTGACATATTAGGTGGATTTCCATAGTATATTTAAAGTTTCAAAAGCTACAGAAACTTCTGGTGTGATTACTGGATTAAAAACTTTAAAAACTGTAATACAGGATTATTTGTACCTTTGTGTATGAATTTTTCTAATTTTAGATTCATAGTAATCAATTAGACAAAGCAACCTAGAAAACAGAATATTGAATTATTTTCAAAATGCAGTATTAGAGCAACTACTAGTTTCACTACATAATTTCAAATTACAGTGTAAAAGTAAGTACAGATTATCTGGCAGGCTTTAAAAAATTTAAGTGATTCTTACCAGAAAGCAAATACTATACTAAGCCATATGTTATATTAATTTCAAACTATAGATTTAAAAATAACTATAAACATTATATCTCAATATATTAAATGCATATCCTCCTTGTCCCAACAGTTCTACCTCTAGCAATATCTCCCACAGAAATATGTCAAAGGATGCAACTCAATATGAACAAAGTTGTTCACTGCACCATTATTTATAAGAGTGAAAAGCCAGAAATAATTTAACTCTCCATCAGGAGAAAGGTTAATGGCACATCCATACTATAGAAAATAATGGGCTGGGCACAGTGGCTCAAGCCTGTAATCCCAGCACTTTGGGAGGCTGAGGTGGGTGGATCACGAGGTCAGGAGTTTGAGACCATCCTGGCCAACATGGCGAAACCCCATCTCTACTAAAAATACAAAAAATTAGCTGGGCGTCGTGGTGCGCGCCTGTAGTCCCAGCTACTTGGGAGGCTGAGGCAGGAGAATCACTTGAACCTGGGAGGCGGAGGTTGCAGTGAGCCAAGAGCACACCACTGCACTACAGCCTGGTGACAGGGCAAGACTCCGTCTCAAAAAAAAAGAAAAAGGAAATAATGGAGAAATAGAAAAAAAATATAAATTTGTATGTCCTTAACAAGGAACGATGATGGAAAAAATTAATGTTGCATAATCAAATGTATATTTTTTACCTTTGTCTAAAAAGAAAAGAAAAAAGTTAGATGTGAATATGTATATATACTGAAAAAGAACTCTATGGGTTCTTAACCAGGGAATAAATTGTAACCTAGTGGGTGTATGGAGGGGCAATGTTGCCATATTGACTAGTTGGAGAGGGAGCAGAATGCTAAAAATTCACCGGTGAACAACACAACAATACACAAAGAAGAACTGTCTCACTCAAAATGCCAACAGCACTCCTTTTGAGAAACAGTAGGAAGGACACACACCAAACTGTTAGGAGAGGAGGTTATCTCTGAGATGTGGGGATTAGGAAAGCAAGCAGATTTGTTACATTTTACCATATACACTTTTATATTGTTTGAATTTTTATAAACACTCATTGCTTTTGTGATTTAAAAAATGAGAGAAAAACAAAATAATACTATGCTTTCATGTGTTATTCTTTTTAAAGGAACAATTTATACTGTTTCCCTCCTATCTTGGGAAAACATTACCAACCCATCCCCCTTTTCAGACCTAATTCAGCCAATTGTGCTCTTAATGTCACAACTTTCTAGATTACTCTTTTTCTCTTCAACCCTTCCCCATCTTGACATACACCAGCTTTCACATTTTCTATTTTCCTGAAAATATGCTTTAATCTTTATATCCCACACAAATCCTCTTGACCTACTTCCCCCTTGTGCTACGCTTCTATTTCTAATCTTTTCCTTCACAGCAAACTTCATTCATTCTGAGTGATTGTAACCAATTATCTTCAATAAAGTTTTAGGGAAGACTTACTACATGTTAAGTACTGGGAATTCTGAGCAAATAAAATAGTGGAAAAGTAAACAAGTTAACCAATGAGGAAGCATGCAACACTGCTGATCATCCTCTCCTTGAAACACTTTTGTTCCTTGGTTATCATGATACCCAAACACAATTCCTCTTCTGCCTCTTCTTTCTGTATATGGAATTTGGAAGTTCTCTGGAGTTTGGCCCTTTTAACAATAGGCCTGATATGTCTACATGGATGACTGAAGGTGCCTAAGCATATATCCATAAATGAATTCATCGGTTCCTTCCCCGTTCCTTCAAATGTAGCTTAAAAACTGGCCATCTTTGACTCCTCCACTCCTTTCAACATCTATAGCCAATTCATCCGGACAACTCCTGTCCATCTTTGCAGTGTCTCTCCCTTTTTTTGGTCCTAGTTAAGACCTTCATTAGCCTTCACCTAGACTACTACAACCGATTACTAACTTGTCTTTCTGTCTCTGTGTTTAATCTCCTTGCTCAGAAATCTTTGGATATATTTCCTGTCACACAGAAAGTAGAACTCAAACTTTTCGGCCAATTTAAGTCTCTCAAAGTTACAGCACACTTTCCATATTGTCATATTGTCTCTTAAGACTCTTCCCAGAATCTCAAGTATCCTATGCTCCAGACCTCTTGGACTGTTGACGTCCCAAACACATTCACTTTTCTGTTACCATATTCCTCTAATTGAAACACCCTTTCTCTCACCTCTGCCTATTAATATTCTATAGTTCCTAGTAGTCCAGCTAAAAAGATAACTCATTCATGAAGCCTATGTAGTCAGTACTACCTTTCACTAATTTCTCCCTACGTCATACCCACTTAGCATCCTATCTGCCCCACCTTATAGTACATACCACTAACTGCTTTATATTTTACTTACCTGCATATGTGTCTATCTACCCAACTAGACTATCAGGTCACCGAATGCAGGAATCATGGCTTTATTCATCTGTGTGTGCCCTATTACTCAGCCCAGTACCCATGTAACTTTTAATAATATCTGTAGTGGCTACAACTCATGTATTTCCAATAGGTTTAATTCACAATTTTTTATTTCAGTGTCTCAAACTGAAAGTTTGTATTGATAAAAATAAAACAGAGTGGAAAATCTCTGGTCCACTGGACAAATTCATACCTGAATTAGCCTGATTTCATCTGCTACACTGCAAGTTCTCTCAGTGCTTCTCTCACCCTCGTACCCAGTTATCTTAGCTGTTTTTTTGTTTTTTCATTCTTCCCTTCCAATTTCTCTCTTCTTCTCCTTCTTCTTCCCACTGTAGTTCTCTCTCCCCTGCCTCTCTCCTTTTTGTTCTTCCTTACCTCTCCTATTTTTCTTACCTTGCCTCCCTCTTCTCTTTATTCACATCTTTCACTAACATTTTTATGTTGTTTTTGTTATGTGTTTGTCCTTACTTTTCCTTCAAGAGGATGAAAATTATATATGTATATATATGTGTATTATCTCTGAAATAATTATCAAAAAAACCTATAGTTTTAACTTGTTTTTACTTTATATCTGACCTCATTGATTTTTATAGTAAAATAGAAACAGCTAAATATTCAAGATTTCCAGTCCTACTAAGTAAGCCTATAATACCACTTAAAATGCAATCAGTTTAAACTGTTAAGAGAAAAAAAGAAGGTGCTAGTATGTAAACAAGAGAGAATGTGAACATAATATCCATACTACTTATATTGCTAAAAATAACACTAAACATTTAAAATCAATTACCTACAGGGGAGGTAAGGATAGGATGGAATAAAGGGGACAGAAATGAAAACACAACTTCTCTAAATATAAATAACGAATAGTTTTGATTTTGGAATTATATAAATGCTTATACATTCAAAAGTAAAAATTTAAAAAGCAATCCCTGAAAATTGAAAAGAAATTGAAACAAATCTAACTGCATTTGGTGATGCAAACACACAGAGAAACAAGTATTTCAAGATATTTTAGAAATACACATCTTGACTGCATACATAGTGGAATATATTAATGTCCAAGAGAGCTGCCCAGAAATTTTTTTTATTATTTTAAGTTCTAGGGTACATGTGCACAATGTGCAGGTTTGTTACATATGTATACATGTGCCATGTTGGTGTGCTGAACCCATTAACTCATCATTTACATGAGGTATATCTCCTAATGCCAGAAATTTAAATTTCATTCAGTAGGCTTATTGTTAGTAATTCTAGTTTTAATATTTTGAAACTATTTTTATGTATTATCAGATATAGCTAATAATTATAATATTGTTCTTAAGAATGATTTTCAGTAGAAAAGACAACAGTTACAAATGTAAAATCAGAATTTAAATAAAAATACTATCTTAACTTCAGCTGGGTTAAATATATATAGTCCCCTCCAAAACATATAGTCCCTGGTTCTTTCCACTAAAAACTCCTAAAATCAATAACATAATAAAACTAAGCAACCCCAAAACCCATACAGTGATCTCTAAATATTATTCTTCACTAAAAGGATCAGTTATTTTGAGAAATGTCTGATTAATTATAAATTTATTTAAAAGTTTAGTGTTATTTTTAGTAAATGTTCAATTCCATTCCTCAAAGGACCTCTAGAACAAACAAACAAACAAACAAACAAAAAACAGGATGAGCACGGAAAAACAATGCAGAAGAGGAGGAGAGAGAGGCTTTTCTAGTTTATAAGAGTTATAACCACCCCCAAGATAAAATCAGGTCAAACAAACAAAATCATGAATCTAGCTACATATCAATTTATGTAGCGAAATTACTGTCTATCCAAGACGGTATGAGGAACTCTTTTGCACAGATAGGCAAACACTCTGTTTTGAGTGACAATGCGATCTTCTTCCTCCTTTCTTAATCTACAGACTTCCGTTTGCAAAGAAGCAATAGTTTCTTGTTGCTCCGTTCGTTTTTTCTTATAATGCTGGCACTTCACCTGTAAGATATTTTTTAAAAACATAATTATGATATGTACATCTAGGACATGCTATCCTAACCATATTGTACACAAAGGCATCTTCATAGTTTCTATTGAGCTGTTTCATTCAAGAACTTCAGTATTGAGGCTGTTTTTAAATGAGTATAAGCTCTAGGAACATTAATATATCATAAACCTGAAAAAATACAAGTCAAATAACTATAAAATGGGGAAACTACAGTTCATAATTGCATGCATTCAAGATATTTCTTACCAAGTAAAGGAACTCAAGAATTTCCATAAAACTGGTATAATTTTATGTTTAAGTTTACATTAAAACAATAATCAGGAAAGAATATTAATTCAGAATTGCAAATAGTGTAGTCAACTTAGGCATTCATGCAATGTGGGCAACTGTAAACTCACAGTAAGTCCATAATCAAGAAATTATCATCAAGAAATAATCAGGGAGAACGACATCACCAAAATGGCAGAGTTGAAGCAATCTGACTTCACTTCCCCCAACAGAAAACCAAAAGCCAATATCCAATGCCAAGATTATTACCAGCAATATCCCAGAACTCAAATCTAAGGATGGGACAATCCCCAGAACCACAAGAAGAAGTGAAAAAATTTCAAGCAGATGGTACGAGAATCGGACTTCTGTAACTGTGATGCCTCTCCCCTAATCTGCAAGGAACGGCCTGTGGAAAATTTTCCCCAGACTCAGTTTCTACACTGGAAAAAGTGAGATCAAGACCAACTTCCCCACCATCTTGGGTTCCTTGCAGGAGAACTGTCCCTGCCTCAACCCACAGAAAGCATCACAAGTGCCTGTAGGAAGAAAAACTCCTGAGAGCAACCAAAGACAAAGATGGGAGGTGGGAACAGCAGCAAACCCAGTCTGTAAAATCTGCTTGGTTTCTCAGCCAAAGAAGATGCTAAATCAGAGGGCTGTTCAGCAGCATCACACTGTAGGAGATACACTCTATAGGCTCGCTGGGTATGAAACCCTAGCCAGCTTTTCCACACAGCTGGAGTATCCCATCTGGGATCTCTCCAACCTAGGACAATCAGTACTCTGAATGCTTGCCAGTGCTGTGGCAAACCTGGACATGAACTGCCATCTAGTACCAAGGAGGAGGCAGTGACCTAGCATAAAGGAAATTCAACAGGTGAATTGTAAAGAACCTCTATGTAAACATATCCAAGAAAAACCCAAACAAGCCAGACAGTGAAAACTGAAATAACTAATCCTTCAATGAGAAGACATAGATATATGTCCACAGGAAACAAGAGCAAACAAGGAACCATGACCCCCCCAAGATGGAAAAAGAAGCCAGTGACTGACCCTAACGAGCCAGTGAGGTGAGATTCTTCAGATCAAGAATTCTTTTTCTTCTTCTTTTTTAAGTCATCTGGTTCTGGGCCTTTATTTGTTCAGAGGTTTTGATTATTGACATAATCCATTGTTACACATCTACTAAAGTTTTTTACTTCTTCTTAAGTCAGTTTTGGCAATTTCTGTGTTGCTAGAAATTTGTCCATTTCATCTAAGTGAGCTAATCTGTTGTCATATAATTGTTCAAAGTATAGTCTTACAATCATTGCTTTAATGGAGGGGTGGAGGTTTAGGGTTTACTACCTTACAACTTTCAGTGATGTTAAATCTTTTCTATCATTGTTTTTGTTTGTTTGAGACAGAGTCTCACTGTCGCCCAGGCTGGAGTGCAGTGGCATGATCTCGGCTTACTGCATCTTCTACCTCCTGGGTTCAAGTGATTCTCCTGCCTCACTTGAGTTGCTGGGATTACAGGCATGTACCATCACACCTGGATTTTTGTATTTTTAGTAGAGACAGGGTTTCACCATGTTGGCCAGGCTGGTCTGACCTTAAGTAATCCTCTTGCCTTGGCCTCCGAAAGTGCTGGGATTATAGGCGTGAGCCACCATGCCCAGCCCTTTCTATCACTGTTAAAGAATTTTATTTTATTTTTATTTTTATTTATTTATTTTTATTTTTTTTGAGACGGAGTCTCGCTCTGTCGCCCAGGCTGGAGTGCAGTGGCCAGATCTCAGCTCACTGCAAGCTCCGCCTCCCGGGTTTACGCCATTCTCCTGCCTCAGCCTCCCAAGTAGCTGGGACTACAGGCACCCACCACCTTGCCCGGCTAGTTTTTTGTATTTTTTGGTAGAGACAGGGTTTCACCATGTTAGCCAGGATGGTCTCGATCTCCTGACCTCGTGATCTGCCCGTCTCGGCCTCCCAAAGTGCTGGGATTACAGGCTTGAGCCACTGCGCCTGGCCCACTGTTAAAGAATTTTAATGTTATATCTGTATATTCCTTAGTCATTGCTTCTTCCTAATCCCTGTCTGCCTAGGATTCAAAAACTCAGTGAACTCCAATATAACACAGGAAATCAATTGAGAAATCTATCAGTGAAATTTTTAAAAGGTATTGAAATAATAACTTTAAAAAAAAATCAAACAGAAATCCTGGGACTGAGAAATACATTCCCTGAACTGAAAAATGCATTAGAGGCTTTTAATAGCAGAATGGATCAAGCAGAGGAAAGAATCAGTGAGCTTGAAGACAGGCTACTTGAAAACACACAGAGAAGAAAAAGAAAAAAGAATACCTACAAAATATAGAAAATTACCTCAAAAGAGCAAATCTAAGAATCATTAGCCTTCAAGAGGGAGTTGAGAAAGAGCAAGGGGTAGAAAACTTATTCAAAGAAATAGTAACAGAAAACTATCCAAATTTACAAAGAGATATAAACATCCATGAACAGGAAGGTCAAAGATCAGCAGACAGATTCAATTCAAATAAGCCTACCCCAAGGCATAGAACAAATTCTCACCTGGGCAATACCATACTGGACATAGGAATGAGTAAAGATTTCATGACAAAGACACCAAAAGCAATTGCAACAGAAGCAAAACTTGACAAATGGGATCTAATTAAACTTAAGAGCTTCTGCATAGCAAAAGTAACAAACAGACAACCTACAGAATGGGAGGAAACATCTGAAATTATGCATCCGACAAAGGTCTAACAGCCAGCATCTATAAGGAACTAAATTTACAAGAGAAAAACAAATTCATTAAAAAATCGGCAAGGGACATGAATAGACACTTTTCAAAAGAAGACATACATGCAGGCAACAAGCATTAAAAAAAAAAATACTTAGGCAGGGTGCAGTGGCTCATGCCTATAATTCCAACACTTTGGGAGGCTGAGGCGAGTGGATCACCTGAGGCCAGGAGTTTGAGACCAGCCCAGCCAACATGGTGAAACCCACTCTCTACTAAAAATTAAAAAATTATTCAGATGTGGTGGCACACGCCTGTAGTCCCAGCTACTCAGGAGGCTGAGGGAGGGGAATCACTTGAACCCAGAAGGTTGCAGTGAGCTGAGACCACACCACTGCACTCCAGCCTGGGCAACAGAGCAAGATTATGTTTAAAAAAAAAAAAAAGACAAGCTCAATATCACTGATCATTAGAGAAACGCAAATCAAAACCACAATGAGATACCATCTCACAGCAGTCAGAAGGCTATTATTAAAAAGTCAAAAAATAACAGATGCTGGCAAGGTTGCAGAGGAAAGGGAACACTTATACACTGTTGGTGGGAGTGTAAATTATTTCAACCATTGTGGAAAGCAGTATGGCAATTCCTCAAAGAGCTAAAAGCAGAACTACCATTTGATGCAGCAATCTCATTATTGGGTATATACCCAGAGGAATACAAATCATTCTACCATAAAGACACATGCATGAATGTTCACTGCAGCACTATTCACAACAGCAAAAACATAGAATCAACCGAAATACTCATCAATGGCAGACTGGATAAAGTGGTATATATACACCATGGAATACTATACAGCCATAAAAAAAGAACAAGATCATGTCTTTTGCAAGAACATGGATGGAGCTGAAGGGCATTATCCTTAGCAAACTAATGCAGAACAGAAAACCAAATACTACTTGTTCTCACTTATAAGTGAGAACTAAATGATGAGAACTTGTGAACACAAAGAAGGTAACAACAGACACTGGGGTGGACGGTGGGAGAAGGAAGAGAAGTAGAAAAGATAACTATTGGGTACTGGGCTTAATGCCTGGGTGATGAAATAATCTGTACAACAAACCCCCATGGGACAAGTTTACCTATGTAACAAAACTTCACATTTACCCAAATCTAAAATTTTAATAAATAAGTACATTCTCAAAGTCAAGCACAAAGAGAAGATCCTAAAATCATCAAGAGAAAACAAGTAAACAACATATAAAGAAGCTCTGATTTATCTGGCAATAGAATCCTCAGCAGAAAGCATATAGACCAGGAGGGAGTGAAATGACATTCAAAGTGGTACTGAAAGAAAAAGAAAAAGAAACACCTGTCAACCAAGAATATTATTCTCAACAAAGCTATCTTTGAAATATGAAGGAGATAAAGCCTTTACCAGGACAAGCAAACACTTGAAAGGGACTCATAAGAAATGCTAAAGGGAGTTCTTCACTATGAAAGAGAAGGACACCACATGCAAAAACAAAAAAAACATTTGAAGGTATAAAACCCACTGGTAAAAGTGAGTATACAGACAAATGCAGAATACTCTAATAATATACTTGTAGTGTGTAATCCAGTCATATCTCTGGTATGAATACTAAAAGACAAATCTACTTAAAACAATAGACTGAGCACAGTGGCTCATGCCTATAATCCCAGAACTTTGGGAGGCAGAGGCAGGCAGACTGTTTGAGCTCAGAAATTTGAGACCAGCCAGGGCAATATGGCAAAGCCCCGTCTCCACCAAAAATACAAAAAGTTAGCTGGGTGTCATAGCACGCACCTATGATCTCAGCTACTTAAGCAGCTGAGGTGGGAGTGTCAGGATCCTTAGGGTGTCACTTCACCAGTCAGAAACTCCTGTGGCCAGTGGCACCTCTGCTTGAGTTTTGCTCACACCTGCTGGGCTTGTTCTGCCCACTCAGCCCAGCAGGC